ATAACTGAAAACTAAAAGCCTAGAGTCCTAAAAGAGGAGAACCATAACACCAGTGTTATACTAACTTTACATCCTGGTTTACATGAAAATTGGTTGTATACTTTTGTTTGACTTTTACCAGGAAAGCAACCAAGAGGCATCTAGAGAAGATGTCCAGTGCTCAGGTAGAAGGATCTGTCAACAGGACTGCTATAAGACCCATTTGCCACATATGTAGCCTTTACCAGAGGGCCAATCCACTGCCACTACTGAGACTAAATTAGAAGTAGATGAAATAGATAATAATACTTAGCTTAACAAAGTAATTAAGGTGCCATACAATCCAAATAAACATGTCTGCCAGAGATCTATGTACTAAAGTGTCATATTTCTCTGCAGACATGCAATGTTTTGTCAAGAGGTTTAAGGTGGGTGTGCAGATTTGCAAAATTCCCAGTTGTACTTTATATTTTTATGTAAAAGCAGAGGAATCTTTTAGTTATCAGGGAAACCAGCTTTAAAGGAATATTGTTGATTAAAGTTTATTTTTGCTGATTGGACAAAAAAAGTCTAAATTTGAGTTATTACAATAATAAAGTTTTTTTGTGCTCCATTCTCCACCATAGTTTCAATTTTCTTTTCCCTCAAATTTCCACAAGTTTCTGTCAAAACCAGATGTGGATGTTTAATGAACTGAGGTGAGAAAAACTAAAAAGTCAGTATACAATTATGCATTTAAATGTCCCAGCAGTCAGGTCAAAGCTTCATATTACATTCTCATTACACGATAACATTAAGCATAAAGATGAATACAAAATTTCAATAAAATAGAAATGAATAGAAAGATTTCTTTAGATTATTTCCATCTGCACAGAACTCTTTTAAACTTGATATTTTGTTCCTCAATTTGTCTAGTTTGTCACAAAGGTACAAAATAAAAAATTACAAAGACAAAAAAAAAAAAATATGACATTGGGATTTTTGCTCAGTACTATATGTCAAAGGGTATTACCATTTAAGTTTTGGTAGTGAAGTAGAAACAAAGAAGCAGTCAGGCTTTTTCCTGTCATGTTGATGTGGGACTAGTAGCTGCCTAATCCCACATCAACAGGAGTAGAAGGTGATCTTCCTTTAAAATTCAAGCCTCAACAAATTTCCCTCTGTTCATCTCAGTCCCATCTCCTCTGCTATACTTTTACATTTTTATAGGCAGGTTTAATATAACTAAATGATGTGACTTTCCAGTATGAACGGATATGTTAAAAACAGGAAGAGACGTGTGAATTGTTGCTGCCTTCTCCAGAGGATCATTAAATTTACTTAGCCTGCCAGGCCCTCTTCCTGCACATGCCATCTCTAAAGTATTTCGCTAAAAGTTCAGACAATTAAACTTCAACTGAGCTCGGGCTGCTGAAAAACATATTATTACAAGTGGAAATAAAACATGATCTAAAATTTTCTCCAAAATAATACTAAAATATGCATATAAAAGTAACAGTGATGTAAGAATATAGATATATTTGACCCTCAGCTCAACTAGAACCTGCTTCCCTGCAAATAAAAGCTAAAAATATTTCTCTGATTGCCTTCAGCACTGCTTTAGTCCTCGATGGCGTCCATTTATCAAGATGTTAAAACATTGCTCATAGATCTTGATTGATATTAATGTGACAGCCTCATGAGGTTTTTCTCCAAAAATCCAAAACACCCATTTCCTCTTTCACACCACATCTCAACGATTGAAATAAGATCTTGGGACTGTTGAGGCGATTGGAGTAGAATGCTGTCATTGAGTTCTATAAACCAGATAGGGATTATTTATACTTTGTGACATGGTACATTATCTTGCTAGAAATATCCATCTTAAGATGGTGGTAAATGGGTCAACATAATCACCCAACCTTAATTTTAAACAATGCTTAATTGGCATTAATAGGCCTCATATTTAACAGGGAAGCTTCTCCTTATACCACCAGACCCCCATCAATAACCTAACTCTTTGATTAAAGATAAAATAGGTTCTGCTGTACATGTTTAAGTGAAAAAAAACTGTTAACTGTTTTTTCTGTATGATACTGTCTCATTTTGCTATGCCTGTATGAACTTATTTCCCTTTTCCTAGCTGAGAGTAGAGGTGTCAGGTGTGGTCTTTTGCTGTTTAAGCTTACATGCTTCAAGCTTTGACTTGTTTTAGGTTCTGAGACAATATTCAGCAGCTGTGATTATTAGGATTGGCTGTATTACTTTTTTTTTTTATCATTTTGAACTAGTCTTAGCATTCTCCTCTGCTCTTGAATGCCAGTTACTGCTCCTTGGTTATTTCTTTATTTTTGGAATGCATCATTTCAGACCTAGTGTGGTTTTTACTCTACATCAACATTTCAGTGGATCAGAAGCTTTAGGTCTCTTAACAAGAGTTGCCCCACATTCAAAGTCACCTAAACCTCTTTGTTATCCCTTTTTATACCCAGTTTAAATGTTTGCATTTCGCTATTAGGTTATATTAAGAAATGCATGAACTGAAGTACATAATAAAGACAGCAGTGAGTATATATACTGCTTTTACATATCTTTAAACATTTTCTTCCCTAAGCAATGCTGTTCAAATTCCTAAAATCATGGCTGAGGAAAAAGGAGATCTTATGACTGTACCATCTGCAGTCCTGAACTGCCAAAGTTGAGTAATATGAAATATTTGGAAACCAAACATACTTACAGTATCGACCCTGTACTGATGAAGGTAACAGAACAACAGCTGTAACTCCTCATTCCCTTGTATCTACATTACAAATGAGCCAAAACATAAACAAGATTTGATTTAGACTAGGTCTTCTTTGGGAAGGAATGCCAAAGTGTGTAAAATTAAATAAATGAACAAAACAAAATAGCTGCTTGTATAAATAAGACACAAATATCAAATCTGGCAATGAAATTGTGAATATTTGACAGTGAAATAAGATAATGAAGGAAAATTTATCCAAATAATGACTGGATCTGCAGCCCTATTTGCTGAAAACAATCAACAACTAATCTTCCTTCCGGATGTCTTCTTTTTTATCAAGCAACAACTAGCTTGTTGCATGATGTAGCCAGCTTAAATTACATTTCTGTCATTAAATTTAATTTAATGTCATTATGATAAACATTTTTTAATTATCAGGATAATTATTCTTTATGATGTTAACATTAATGATTCTTTGGTAGAAAGAGAAATTGACGTTTGATTCTGATGGTTTCTTCCGGTTCCTAGCTCAACTGCTAAAGGGCCAGTCCTCTTTGTTTTTCACTGCCTTAAGCTTCTTTAATCTGTTCTTAATGTTTCTTCCTGATCTGATAGGAACTTTTCAGATGCATTTTAAAGCTAATACAATAAATCATTCGTACTGGAACAAAACTATGTCAACTGACCCAACACTAAATTTGATGGATGCATTTAAAGTTGTTTTATATAAAATTATACACTCCTACTAACTACTACAAACAGAAATATGTTTTTACTGATATTAAATGGTACTTCCAAAGCTTAATGGTTGCCTAGCACACACTATAATGAGAAATCTTCTAGACAGAAGTTTTCATTTTTCAGTTCTGGAACATGCACAACAGGCCAGGAATGTAAGGCAGGAGCAATGATGTCATTCAGCAATTGCCTCATGCCAAATTAGGTTGTTTCCGAGGAAGAGCATTCTCGCCATCTACTGGGTAACTGGTGGATTTGCCTAATTTCTTTCTTAACACTATTATTGTATTATTGTGATATTTGTAATTTACTCAGCAGTTTGGTAACGAGATTTTTGCTAATGTTGCATAATACGAGGCGTTTTAATAGGCTGATTGTATGTTTGTTTATCTGTGCAGGTGTTAAAGTACCTGGAACCTTTCCGTCTGTCTCTGGAGAAACTGCGGGAAATTTCGGCTCAACTCAAAAAGGATATGATCCGAGGTCTGGGGAAACACACACATAACAGGGCGCCTGTCAAGATGCTTCCCACCTTTGTAAGGGAAACGCCAGATGGGAAAGGTATGACTTCTCAGCCGAGTCTTAATTATTTCACCTTTTCCATTAAAGGAAAGAAAGCCTCTCCACACATTTATTAAATGTTCCAGGTTGTTCTTCACTAAGTGTTACAGATTTCTCAGCTCATTAGAGTCATTGTAGGATTTTAAAATTAAAACTTTGGAAAAGGAGGAGACATCAATATGGAAAGAAAGTATAGTAGTTTTACAAGATGACAGAAATGGGGAGTTTGGTCATGTGGGTGGAAAGAAAGAACTT